TATAAAAAATCTAAACATTTTTATATCGGAAAATTGAAAAAATAAATATTTCTAATTTGTTTTTTGAGAAAAATAAATGAAGTTATTTTTATTTAAGAGTGCGAAGGATGGTATGTTGAAAAAGTATTAAATTCTGTGATTTTCTATTTAATTGTGAATTGTCTGCCGAAGGAATACTAAGTTTACAATACACCGATATATAGCTGTTTGAAACGTGAAGTGTTAAGTAATACTGGTAATTATATATCTTTGTTTGTTTGTGCAAGCTGATACGGAGACCATAACAGATAGACTTATCAAATGTGTCCAAACTCATAGCAATGCTCATCGGTGATGCCCTAGAATTTGCTTTGTACATTATTACGTTAATCCAACAAAATGGTGAGAAAAACGCACTTCGCAGTGCTTCAACCCCCTTTCTCACACTGGAAGAATGTTACTTTATGTAATAAAACAGCGAACCTACAATTATAATTACTTTTCCTTTTCTATATGTATCTAGATGTGCTATGTTTTCTGCCTCACTTTTCTCATCGAAGCTTTATGAAGATCAATTATAGGTATATGGATATAAGCTTTGTGTAATTCAACAAGCATTTGGTGTTTTTGGTGTGCATGTGGACACAAATAAAAATAATTTCATTTTTTATTATTATTGGACAACATTTTTGGGACTATTTGAGCGCGTAATTCATATAATTATGCTATGGCCTAATATCAAACCAATTGGACCAGGTTTTAACTACGTTGTATAAATTTTCACCTGGACAGGATGTGGTTTTAATTTGACGATGGCCAAGTAGGATGTAATCGGATTGAAGATAACCCTCGACTATAGCTTCATCAATTAGATTCTCAATATTTTGTAGCATGACGGTATCGGGTTTATCATCTAGATGACGTTGTAGATGGTATCGTTTATAAAAATGAACACTTAAGCCATTAAAAATGCGAAAAAAATTTGCAAAAAAAATTTACCATCGAAATTTCCTAGACATGCAATGCCAATGCTGTTGAACTTATAAGCAGAAGGATGCTGTGCTTGCACGCCCCAACCGCGTCCCTCATAGATATGACCGTCGAAGCCAATAAGAAAATTATAACCAATATCATCATAGCCCTCTTTGTACATGTGATGCTTTTGTAGGCTTTTGATTATTCTTAAGCAATTCGTTTCAAAATGACAGCTTAAGGGATATTCGGTGTGATGTATAATTACAAATTCTGCAGGACTGATAATTGATTTTGGTTTACTTTTTGGTGACTCGGCGTACCAATCCTCACGTTTCGTAATCTTGAGCGTTAAACAAAAGTACAAGACTGCAAATGCGAACATAAATAATATTAAGTAAAGTTAAAATAAAATATTTACAAAAATATTTTCAATTTCACTCACAAAAACTAGCTATTAATAAAATATTAAATAAATTGAACATTATTGCAACAAAATTTGCGTTTGCTTTGAAACGGAGTTAAAAATATCTGAATACGCATTGATTTTTGCAATTACTATTGACTATGATCGCCAGCTACGAGAGAAATGCAAGCGATATTATGTTGGCACATACGTTTTATATTACTTCAATTAATTAAACACACATATTATATGTACTATTTCTTATGAAAAATGTAATTAATATCGAAATTTCGTAACATTAAAACGCGCATACATTTCACGCAGAGAAGATGATACTAAATGTTTCTAAAAGCAGAGATAACGATAATTTTTTATTTTTATATTCATTACAAGGGGCGCATATTAGAATCGCTAATTCCTCGTAGGCCTAGAAATTCACGCTGTCGACGCCATAAATATATTTACTCTTGACTAGGGTCAATAGCGGAATCGATTCATCCATTATTGTCTGTTTCAATTCGTTCGCCCGTCTACTGACATATTTTGACCAAAAGATGGGCAATGTATATAATATTATTGGCAAACCGCGTGAATAATTGTGCTCAGCGAAATGATGTAGTGTATGTAATGGCCGAGCCTTCCCCGACTATAATCGTTTTACTTCTTTTTACACGCTATAATTATTTTGCTTAGTTCTTTTAACCCATATACTTCAAAGTATATATTAAAAGAGACAGACAGAACTGCAAATCATGGCCGACGACAAGTTGGCTTTTTGCTTATAATTCTTTTAATTTTAATTTTAATTGAATGGAACTTCAATTCTCTGCTATATTCATATCCTTCCACATATGCAGCGCGATACGCATTAATTGTGTTAACTGAGCGGCGCCAGTACATAAGAATGTTTAATACAAAAATATAATGAGCAATTATCATGAATTAGATTGCTTCTAATTTTTATGAATTGATGATAAATTTAATATTTGGCCGTCTTTCGAAATTTCAGGCTAATTTTGAAACTTGCTTTTACTTGGCAATAAAGAAGTTGAATATTTAAAGTTGTTTTTTGCATGATTTTCATTGCAAGAATTCATGCAAGACAAGTAATTTTTTTTTTTAGCAAAGATGAGCTGGGTAACTTTTAAACAAAATGATATTTCTGTTCTCCGGCGGTGTCGTGCGAGTTTACTTTCGGTTTTCCTTTCAATGTTCTGTAACCGTTTCATACTAAAAAAAAAAAAAACAAAAGAAAAAAACCACGAAAATTTGTTCTTGTAGGTGTTAAATAATATTTATTGAATTTCTGAATTTCTTTCTCTTTATATCTTTTACTTTTCTTTGCTTTCATCTTAAATTCTATATTCAGTTATTTATTAGTTATTTATTTACTTATTCGTTTTTTGATAACTTCTGTTTTATTTATTACCTTGTTATTTATGCATATCGAATAATTTTTAATTTTCTTCTAACTTACATGAAAACCGTAAAAGGGAAACAATCAAGATGGAAATCATAATAAAAAACTTTCTTCTTTGTTTTATATAAAACTTTTTTTCTTTAAATAATTTTGTAAATTATACAGAAATAAACTTTAGTTCACATACCCGTTGTCAGTCCACGTGATCTGCATATACGGTTTGCAATCAAAGTACCTTTTGGCATAATCGTTTGAAAGTCATGAGCATGATATACGACTAAATGATACGTTTTATGGAAATAAAAAATCGTACGCAGTTCTTTCTCTTTGTCTTAAGGGAAGTCACTTTGTTTTTCCCGACTTAGGATGTACCTTCGAGACTTTTCATTAATAGAGGAAAAACGTATATATTTGGGGCAACTGTGGGCATGAGCATAGGCTCTTATATAACTAATAACAATTGTATCAAATATTTGATCAATTACTGTTATAAAAAAGAATGTTGGTATTGTAAGTTTCTTGTTTTTTTTTTTATCTTTTGAGGAATTTTAGGCATATTTGTGAAAGGATTTTGCTTATCTTTAAATTGAATCAATGAATCTAAACTGGGAAATCATGTTCTAAACTAACGATGTCTAATTCAAATGATACTGTGTTAAATAACTCTAACAGCAAACGCTAAGCAAACGAAGACAGAATAGTTTTACCCTGCTAATGACAAAATGTTGTTGCCACAGCGTTACCGCGTAGCACGAGAGAATTCACAGGTAATATTTACCATTGCCACAATAGCAAATATCAAGCAAATATCTTATAAAACTTCGCTTACTAAAATTTTGGCAGCTGCTCTCATCAAAATCTCAAAAATTATATCTTGTTGGGTAACTTTTGAAGAGAGCCTTTATATAGGAAGGAGTTAAAAAAATAGATCAAATTCATAATCTGGATAAATTGGATTTTCTTGCCATATAAGAGCTTATTTTTTAGAAGAACGTTTTTACCGTGCGACGCGCAAAAAATGGAGGCCATTCTATTTAAATGTAATTTTTCATCGGTTTTTCTCGTGAAAAAATTGCAAATGTTTTCATATAATGACTTCTTGAAATAGGTCGTTATATGGGGAGTTATTATAAACATAGTGCGGATGAAGTCATTTTTCGACTTTGGTCCTAAACATGGCAGTGTACAAAATTTTATCACGATATCTTGAGAACAGCGAGCTGTAGGTTAAACGCAAAAATACTTAGAAAGGCATTCGACAGACAGGCAAGTTTGTGACGAATTGGAAAATCATTTTGAGATAATTGGTATAACAAATTTTGGATCCTTTCTAAGTTGTTCTTCGTCTTGCACACATCTGTCTAACTTCTAGGCAAAGTATAAAAATTTACATATCACGGACTTCAGCCGGATATTCAGGGGATTTTAGCTGATGATTTAAAACCCTAAAAGAGGTCGTAATGATCAAATCGCATCGTATGTTACTTTATTTTCTCTCTGCATAGAGAAACCAACGACTGCATTGGAGGCGGCCTGCAAGACAATTTTTTCTTTATCATCGCACTAGTATATAAAAATGTACAGATTCTTAGGGACTCGTTCAACAGTTTAGGGCTGAGAATATGGTAATGCTCTGGAAATATTACTCTTTGGACGTTGAAAACCTTTGAAAGGGAACTATGGATGAAGCATTATAGTCGGAAATATTGCGAATCACAGACATTCCGGAAAAAATAAAACTGAGAGCAGCAATGTCTGCGTGGGGAGTTATGTGGTGCCGTATCGGCGTTCAAAGATGAGTTGTTAGATGGGCCTTGTTTTGTCCAGAGGGCAGAAAATTGCCCATACCTGTTTACTCATTTTGGTATCCAAGAAGGGACGGGGCCTCCTAAATGGTAGGAATTCTCTGTTTACTTCAAATTGTGCTTTGCACTAATCTAAATATACTGGATAGTCCATTATCTGAACTTGTTTCAGATAACGCGACCTAATTCTAGATGCGCTTTTAAGTTTTTTAAATGAGCTAAAATTTATAATAAAGTCAGAACAACTATTATTATTGGCCAATTATATTACTGTTGGAAATAAACTCAATGGGAACATCTTTCCTCTAAAATCTCTCCTCGCGGTTGCTTGATCCTGCGCTAAGTTAGCGTTCTGAAAATCTCAAAATTAAGACAGAGTAAAGGACGAAAATAAGCTCATGCTCAGGTACACATATACATATTTCATCGATATAATAAGGATTTCACAATCCGTCAGCGCGCAAAGGCAACTAACTCAAACTGCGATTGAAAACCTATTTAAAACTTAACATAATTATTTAGCAGGATCATGTATGTAAACATTGATTGTACAACTGATGCATCAACGAATGAAACGGCGTATATAATTTATTATGTTAGTCTGAGGCGGTCGGTATCAATGACCAGAATCGATGTGTATGCAATTTTCGCATTCATTTTCGAAATTGATAATGAAGCGAGACTTGGTCAAAAATACGCCCATTGTGGTCAAAAATGCGAGTAATCCTTAAAGAAAATGTGGAATAACTTGAAGTGTTCTTCTTTGCAGGGACAGTACTGATCTTTTTTTATTCTCGCTTCGTTAATTCACTAACTAATAAACTGAGTAATTTTTGCAAAATTTTCTGAAATAAATAGTTATAAAACATCCGCCCCAAGACGAGTCTGCTTTTCCAGTTAAATATTCTTTTCATTAATTTACTTTTTTATTTTATTTCACGATGAACTTTGTTTACTGTTTTGCATTTATAGTTTTCTTTTATTTTTTCCTCTTTTTAAATTTTTGTTTTCAAGTATAGTAAAAATGTATTTAATCTTCTTTTTTTTTTCTTTTTCTTTTTCATCCTGTTTTCTATATATTTCCACTGTTTTTCATTTCATTTTATATGCAATTGTGTCGCTCGCATAGAATACTTAGAATAGTATTAAAAAAAGTTATTCATTTTGTTGTTTGTGTAAAAAGAAAATTCTCTGTTTCTGCATTTCAATTACTATTGTTGTTGTTTTTGTTTGTTGTTTGCTTTTATTATAATTATTGTTATAATTAATACATAACTATATGAAACTGTTTTCTTTGCTTTTAAGTCAATTATTGAAAGACCTGATTACTTTTGGTTTGGTTAATGCCAATTAATTTTTATACTTAGTATTATTATTATTATTATTATTATTATTATTATTTTTTTTTTTTTTCTTGGTTTGCTGTAATACAATCAAATTTCTTTCAAATTTACTTTTTTTTCTTGTTTTTACCTTCGTTATTATTGAAATCATTCTAAAAGCCCTTAATATTTACGTATATACATAGAATGCGATATACATATACGACGTAGTTTATAAATTATATAAATGATTGTTAAAAAGGAAAAAAGGATATATAGTAATCAAATAAGTGAGAAGTTCGTATACGCCTTTAGACGCATCGTCGATATTCACTACCCCTTTTGTTAACTAATTTCGTTCATCATAAAATCGATTGGAATTAGTTTTGCATTTGCAAAACTTGTGTCAAGCTTTAGCATTCAATAGTTAGCCGTCTAACGGGCAGACGGCCAGAGACTAAGAATGTGTATATATCTAAGTTTATCATTTATTAGGCAGATGAACGGACGGACAAACGGGTATTGCTCTTACGCTATGTTGCCTCCCCCCCGCGCCTTCGGCAAGTGATAAATATAAAAACCATATAATAAATAATGAAAAAAGGAAGATCTCTTGTGTTTTGTAATAAATTTATATATATATTTTTATCAATGGTATACAAAGTAGAATATATTGAACATATATACGTAATGTCTGCAACATATGTGCGTGTATGTATACCATAATAATGCTTTTTAGGTTGGCTATAATTAACATCATATGATAAAT